TTGCCGTAATCAAAATTTATAAAAGATAAGTGTATCGATGAGGTTCGAACTCATTGTCAGTTCAAATTATCACGACCTTGACATATAAGTTACTTAATTTTAAATAAATAAAAAATGAATTAATTGCTGCACGAATTTTGATAATAATTATTTTTTATTTGTGATCTATTTCTTAGAGTAGAAACATTATTTTTATTTCTTAAAAAAATTTTTTTTTTCAATTATTAATTTTATGCATCACGGTACAGTAAAATATAAATTTTTCATATTTATCTTAAACGCTTATTTTATAGCTTATTCCATAATAAAGAAAAATAGTTTACAATTAGTCTCTAGTATAAGAGAGAATTTAAAACATGTATGATTTTTTTTATAAATTTAATGTATAATGTTTGTGTAAACTCTCAAAAGTTGCCAATTGCGATTACATTTTTTCCAATTGTGGAAAACCGAGTCAAAAAGTTCTAAGCCAATTTTTTCTATAATGCATAATAATTTTCATTATTAACGATAGAAAAAAGCATGTTATAGGCGCGCGCAAAAGGATAGCGCCTTGCCATAAGCATAGTGCCTTGCATAGTGCGCACACGCACACCGCCACACGCGCGGTTTACTATTATTAGGAATGATTAGTGTTATTATGGCTTAACATTATTAGTAATTACGGCTTTATTATGTATTATAGAAAAAAATGGCTCAGGACTTTTTGACTCAGTTTTCCACGAGGAATATCGCTATGTAAATAGTGGACGCCAATTAAGTGACATCCTGTATATATTTTTCTAATGAAAAAATTTTCAGGATATCTTCTGAATGTCTTGCATCCTTTCATTCACACAATTTCAAAAAATTGTAGTAGTTTTTTCTAGGTATAGGTACGCCGCGCTTTCATAATTCTACAAAACACCGGTTAAGAACCACTGGTATATAACCAATAAAAAGATTCATGGTCAAATTCAATTTTGCGAAATTCTTATTGCTTAATTAAATCAAAAGGCTCGTAGGATTAATAAGTCACAGAATAGAATAAAGCCTGAGAACCAAAGCCGGTTATTATGAAAAATTATTATTTATTATAATAAAGATATTATTACATAAACGTTTCGGTCTTATTTAGACCATCTTCAGTGTAAAATTAATATTGATACAATAAATAAAAAGACGCATATTACAACAGAATTCGCATACGTAATTAGCTTGGAAGAAGATTATTATTTTTTATTACTTTCGACTGAATTAATGACAAAAAGTGAGAGACTGAAACGGTAATATAATCGAAATTAAGTTAAAATTAATTTTAAAATACAGAAGTTATAATCAAATAATAAAAATTCTTATACATACATAAAAAGTGCAGAGTTTTATAAACCACATTGCGGAACAGAATATTACAATGATCTTTTCCGGTTTTTATAAACCTCAATGTATTATGATAAGAGAAAGCAATGTTGAGATCATACTTTTTGGTGATTTTTAAGAATCTCTCGAACACGTTTTTTACATACGGTATCACAAAAAACTTGTTTTTACTATAATTTTTTTATACGATGTTCTTGTTTTCGTCACAAAAAAGTTTCTAGTTCCCCCCCCATTGTCTTTCTTCCCTTTCCTGCTTCCCCTTTCTCCTCTCACTCTCAGTACCATTTCCTTTATAACGTTCGCTAGACATCTCTCAACTTCATTAGTTGTCTACATACCAATTGTATCTTTTGACTAGTTGACAATAAGCGAATTAAAACAATGACTCTGCACTCTTTATGTATGTATACAAATTTTTATTATTTGATTATTTCTTCTGTATTTTAAAATTAATTTTAACTTAATTTCGATTATATTACCGCTTCAGTCTCTCACTTTTTGTCATTAATTCAGCCGGGCCGAAAATAATAAAAAATGATAATTTTCCTACAAGCTAGTTACATATACGAATTCTGTTGTAATATGCGTCTTTTTATTTATTGTATCAATATTAATTTTACACTGAAGATTGTATCAATATTAATTTTACACTAAATAATACCGAATCGTTTGTGTAATAATATGTTTATTATAATAAATAATTTTTGGCTATAATAACCGGCTTCGGCTCTCAACCCTTATTCTATTCTGACTTATTGCTTAAGTTTTTCTATGTGCCACGGTCCTTAATCTTACTGCGTTCTTTTATTGTTAATGGAACCAGGCCTAAATATACTTTTTTGTATAATAAAATACCTAGCCTAGCCTAACACAAATACAAAGATATTGGAATAGGTCGGGTACTTTTCGGACAGATCTCGTATAGGTACTACCGTTAAATAACTGATTAATTGTAATTTTCCCCTCAAATACAATATATAATGTAAGAACATCGTAGTCATATCCCAATTAACATAGCAATTAATTCAATCAATTAAATTCAATTTCAATTTAATAAAATTATTTAAGGGAATGCCAGAGTGACGACCGAACTCCAATAGGTTAGCACCACATATATCTAAATATATGCACGTATACACATATACACATGATAGGTTAGCAACACACATATCGAAACATGCACGTATACAATACATATGCGTGAAAATTTTCTACATCGCTTTCTTATTTATTAGGCTTTTAAACTTATATCTAAAACCACAATCTCCACTTGATTCCTCTCGACCAATAGAGCCAAACGCGATGTTATTGCGACAATTATGAAAGAAAGAAAATTTGGAAACTAAGGAATTTGAATCCTATGGTTGGGATCTCAAAAATTTCTCGTCTATTTCTTTACAGGGGATGTTAAGAGAAGGAACAAGGGGAATTTTTGAGATCCCAACCATAGGATTCAAATTCCTTAGTTTCCAAATTTTCTTTCTTTCATAATTGTCGCAATAACATCGCGTTTGGCTCTATTGGTCGAGAGGAATCAAGTGGAGATTGTGGTTTTAAAATTAAAAGAGCTGACTTAAAAGTATTCTCATTATTATATTTAAAAGTTTACTAATACTTCTTCATTCAATTTCTAATCGGAACCTATCTTATTTTGTACGTACAAACAGCAAAACTTTTATATTAAACAATTATTATTTTGACATGACAACAGAAGCCAATAAAGAAATTTTATTTTTGAAATTTTTTCTCGTTTTTAACATAAAATCGGTAGGTTCCTACTTTGTTTTTGTACGTGTTTTAATTGTGGAAATTTATTATTTTGTGCAACCGGCGCACGGAAAGTCGCCCTTTACGCACATGATGGGATTTTAGAAAGAGCTCCCTTTCCACGCACCGGTCACACAAAATATCGTAGCCTGTGCTCGTAACATGTGCGGGCCGATCATGCGGATTGTCACACTCGGCTTCGCTTCGTGCGCCAAACTTCCGCACTCTCGGCCGATTTACGATCCCCCGCACTTGCTAATATATATTATTATTAAACCAATGAAAAGATTTCGGTGCAGAAAAATCTATAATCATCCGATCGATAAAACAGGCATCCGGCATCCCCTTAATTATAAATAAATAATATAAAATAATTACAATGCAAATATGAAGACTTGAGTTTTTTTAAATTAAAATAAGAAATTAGCAATACAAACTCAGCGCAGTAATTAAAACGCAGTAACTAATATTTATTGTAAAAACCCATTAATTATAATCGATTAAATAAAAACAGTACGTTTCTGTTTTTTCAACCTTATTCTTCAGCGCAATTAAACAACAAATTAATATTAAAATAGATGGTAATCATTTTGATAATTTATTATTAAGATCTCTCACGCTATATATTCTCTTGTTGTAATGATTTCTATGTAGAATCCAATACGTCCCATATTTTATCACCTCCCAGTTAGTAAAGAATCACATACAAAGAGATACCTGAAGTTTCATTAGATAATTGTATCAGAAATCTCCAAATTTAAAACATAAATCAATGTAAATATCTGTTAAAAGATTGCACAGCGAAAAACATAATATATGCAATTAAAATCGAATTCCGAATAACGACAATGTTTTTAATTATTAAATAATTGATAATAATAAATATCAATCGTTTTTATAATAAATATTATATAATATCTTTTATTGTGCTGAATTTATATTGCGAATTTCTCCCTTTAATATAAAATTAAAAAAGCAAAAAATTTAATAAAAGTAATTAGATAATTAAAAATTCTTAAAATAATTTTTTCTGAATAAAGAAGCCAAAAAATGCGTTTAATTAAGAATTTTTAATTGTTGTATTTAAAAAATAAGATATGCATTTTATTGCTTAATTACTTATTTTTATCAAAAATCAATAAAATTATGTTTTTTGAGCCTTCAAAGTTGACTAGTTTGGCGATTTTTTCGTTTTTTCCCATTTTTCATTATATTAATATATGCATCTCTCAAAGTTAATGACAAACTATTTTGAGTTTTATATATTAATAGGCCAATAGTAAGCTAACATTTAAATGTAATTTTAAATTGATTCATCATTAACTTCTACATGAAAATAATTTTTTGTAAAATAATCGTTTATTAATTTACTAATTTTTGACTTATAACACTCATCTGTGTCACTTCTGAAAAAAAATGATTCTTGTGCAATTTTGTTGTTTCTTTCTTTTTTCTAATGATATATGAATTATATTTTTTTTCTTGATATAAAACTTTATTTGCTAATAACTTTTTAATAAATAACAATGGTTAAATTTTTTTGAAATTATTCAAGATCAAGTTATGTCAATATACATACATATGTCGAGGTTAATATGATTCGAATTCGGAATTCCCTCATCGATATAGTTATCTTGCAGAAAATTATGTGTATTAAAATTATAAGTGTGCACTTGTGTGTGAAAATAAAAATATTAAAAATAAAGACAGTAATCAATAGTAATCATCTTATCATATATGAGAATAATATCTTTATCTTGACGAACAACTAATAGTATTATTTTATTGTATTATAGAAAATTATAGCGTATTTTCACTGTAAATAAAGTATAAAACTAAGCTACAAATAATAAAATATAATATAAAAAACTTACCGTTCTATCCACTGATGGTACCTTTGGAAATATCACATCTTGAAGTTCGTGCATAAGATCTATATTTATGCGCTCTGGTGGAGAGTCTGATTCTTCGGGTGAACTAGGACTTAAAGGTGAGTACTGTTTTTTACTGTAATACATATGTGTATGTGTTTATGTGTATATATATATATATATATATATATGTATATATATATATATATATATATATAGGGTGTCCGGTAACTAACGGACCAACGATTACAAGTGGATTCTTTGGTCAATTTGAGAACGATTTTTCCTCAGCGAAAATGTCGAAAAAAGTCATCATTTTTTACAATTTTCCAATATTTGTCATTATGTATCTTTATAACTAAGCCTAAATTAAAATTTTATTATAGTAAACTCTACCTGAAATTAACTAAAGAATGTAATTATGTTAGACTTTTAACTCCAAAACGTTTAGTTTTCAAAAAACCCATTTTTTTCAATCGCTTATAACTCAAAAATTATTGACTTCTCAACATTTTTGCTAAGGAAAAATCGTCTCCAAATTGGCCAGAGAATCCGCCCTTAATCATTGGTCCGTTAGTTACCGGACACCCTGTATATCACGCGCTGTACATGCGCTATATAATATACTCACATGCAAAAAAATAGGTCACTAAACTTTACACAATTTTTTGACATCTTTGAATCGCAATAACTCAGTAAAAAATCATCGTATTGAGGTAAACCATAGCTAAATTGAAGTATTTTAAATATTTCTTTTAATAACTAAAAAACAAAAAACAAAATGTTTTACAAAATAGCTACGTTGAAGATAGACGTTGAAAAATAGAAAAAAGAATGTTTATTTTAATTTTTGCATAGTTTAGGTGAATCGGCTCCCTGGGACAAAAATGTATAAGTTTTTAAGCTCATTTATTTCTTAACAAATCTATATTTAAAAAAATTTTCTACGATTTTTTTTGATATAATTATACTGTTTTGAAAAAAATGTTAACCTTTGTAAATAGACCTTTTATAAAATCTACAATTTAAAAATAAATTATCATGATAAACTTTTTCAAAAAGGAAATTAAAATGTAAACTTGTTTAAATCTTAAAACTTTTGCCAATAATGAATAAACAAAAATTGCTTATATCTTGAAAAAAAAACATATTCTTGAAAAACATGTATGATACATGTTTTTTAAGATTATTTGTTTAAACGTTACATTCTAAACAAATGTTTATTTTTGTTAGTTTTTTTTATTGACAAAAAAGTTTCAAAACTTTTTATATTTTAATTTCTCTTTTAAAAAAGTTTTTCATGATAATTTGTTTCTAAATTGTAGATTTTACAAAAAAACATTCATTTTATCTTTTTTAAAATGATGTAACTCTATTAAAAAAAAAAAAATTGTAGAAAAATTAAAAATTTCTTTAAAATGTTGATTTGTTAGAAAATTGATAAGTTTAAATATTCATATTTTTTATACAGAGGCATAGATTCCTCTAAACAAAATTTAACAGACATTTTCTTCCATTCTTCAACATCTACAACATCCACCATTTTGTAAAACATTTTTTGTAATTCAATTTTGATCTTTTGCATTATTAAAGGAAAATATTCAAGTTTTAATTTATCTAATATGAATATGATGATTTTTTAATGAATTATCGCACTTCAAAGATGAAAATTATGGTAAAGTTTAGTGGCCAATTTTTTTGCGTGTGAGTGTATATACATGATATTCCACGAGAAAACTGACAAATTTCAATTGTAATCACAGTATAATCCGAAATTATTAACATAAAATGTATTACTATGAGTTTGTTTGACTCATTTGACTCATTTATTATCAAAATGAAAATGTTATTATATGTATATGTCAAAATGAAATTACTGTATGTATTTTAATATTCTTGTTACTTTCATTAATGTTTCATCTCGACTATAAATTATCAATGCAACAAACGTTATCATTTTTACTTTTAATTATTTACAAAATTCCGCAAGTATAAAATAAACTTTTCGACTGTTAACTCAGTCTTCTTCTGTATGACTTTAAATTACATGAAAAGAGAAAAACATTAAAAAATTCATATCTAGTAAACAATAGATAAGCCGCATTTTGTATATTAAATTGTTAAAACAAATTCGCGTAGTATGAGATGCTTATAGATTTTATGTGATAAGATTTGAGCAATAAACAATAACAGATAAAAACATTTTGAAGTATTTGTAGTATTTGAAATGATGTTATTTTGATAAAATATATATATATATATATATATATATATGTAAAATAACGCATCAATGAAAGTAACAAGGATATTAAAGCAACATTTATAGTACTTTAATTTAGACATGTACAAATATTATTAATTCATAAACAAAATAGATTTACTTATTTATATATAATCTTGATTATATGTATATAAATAAAGCAAGAAAAGTAGTATCTTATGTGGCAAGTGCGGAAAATAACGAATTACATCGCGTGTAAAGTTGCCGCATGAGCCGAAGGCTTATGATACATTCACACGAGTACGAGTGTGAATGCATCATAAGCTAAGGCGAATGCGGCAACTTTACGCGCGATGTATTCGTTGTCCTCCACACATGCCACATATAATATCTTTTTTGCAACGCCTGTTGCGAAAGTTCGATTTTCGATTGCTGTTTAGCGTGCGGAAAATGGCTTATTTCTCAACGATTCAATGTATGCCTTACTTTACCACACTAGTGCGAGAAAAGCATCTTTATTATTTACTTTACCACACTAGTGCGGTAATGTGTTACTATGATTACACTTTACCGCACTAGTGTAGAAAAAATCATCTTTCTTCTCGATTGACATAACAAACTTGAACGTAACGAAATTCACGCCAGACAAAACGTCAATTTGTTATAATCTTCACTATTTAAGAAGGATTAAATGGATTAAAAAAACGAGTATTCTAGACCGTCCACGCCGTTAGAACTTATAGAAGCAGCTGAATCTGCCACGAAGACTTTATTACCGAAAAAATCAAGAGATAAGTACATGAGTAAAAATATCTCAAATCGAACTTTAGCGATAGGCATTACAAAAAATATTGTATATGGCATGTGCGGAGAACAACAAATATATCGCACGTAAAGTTGCTGCATTCGCCTTAGCTTATGATGCATTCACACTCGTACTCGTGTGAATGCATCATAAGCCTTCGGCTCATGCGGCAACTTCACGCGCGATGTAATTCGTTATTTTCCGCACTTGTCACATAAGATACTATTGTAATGCCTATCGCGAAAGTTCGATTTGAGATGTTTTTACTCATGTACTTATCTCTTAATTTTTTTGGTAATAGTCTTCCTGGCAGATTCTGCTGCTTCTATAAGTTCTAACGGCGTGAACGGTCTTGAACACTCGTTTCTTTTATCCATTTGATCCTTCTTGAATAATGAAGATTATAACAAATTGACGTTTTGTCTCGCGTGAATTTCGTTATGTTCAAGTTTGTTATGTCAATCGAGAAGAAAGATAATTTTTCCGCACTAGTGCGGTAAAGTGTAATCATAGTAACACATTACCGCACTAGTGCGGTAAAGTAAATCATAAGGATGCTTTTCTCGCACCAGTGTGGTAAAGTAAGATATACATTGAATTGTTGAGAAATAAGCCATTTTCCACACGCTAAACAGCAATCAAAAATCGAACTTTCGAAACAGGCATTGCAACATTTTTTTATATTACACGTGCATGGAAAGTCGTCCATTACGCACGTATCTTCGCCTTACGCGTATACTCGCCTTCGGCTCGTGCGTCCACTCCGCACTCGTGTCCAATTGTCAACTTCCCGTACTTGTTACACAAATAACTATTTGCAACGCCTGTTGCGAAATTTCGATTTTCGATTGCTGTTTATCATGCGGAAAATGGCTTATTTCTCAACGATTCAATGTATGCCTTACTTTACCACACTAGTGCGAGAATAGTTAATAAAGATGCTTTCTTATTATTTACTTTACCGCACTAGTGTGGTAATGTTACTATGGTTACACTTTACCGCGCTAGTGCAGAAATAATCTTGTTTCTTAATGGTTATTGGTTGATAGTTTTTGTTTTACCATTTCTCGATTGACATAACAAACTTGAACGTAACGAAATTCACGCGAGACAAAACGTCAATTTGTTATAACCTTCATTATTCAAGAAGGATCAAATGAATAAAAGAAACGAGTGTTCAAGACCGTCCACGCCGTTAGAACTTATAGAAGCAGCTGAATCTGCCACGAAGACTTTATTACCGAAAAAATCAAGGGATAAGTACATGAGTAAAACATCTCAAATCGAACTTTTGCGATAGGCATTACAAAAAATACTGTATGACATGTGCGGAGGACAACGAATACATCGCGCGTAAAGTTGCCGCATTAGCTCGTACTCATGTGAATGCATCATAAGCCTTCGGCTCATGCGGCAACTTCACGCGCTATGTAATTCGTTATTTTCCGCACTTGCCACATAAGATACTATTAGATTACACTAAAAATTAAAAAAAATGACGCCAAAAACAGCCAAAAAACGCCTGTTTCGCCACCCTTAAAATCAGATTTGAATTTGGTACTAAATGAATTGAGCCCACTTTTTATCTTCAAGATATGATGGGTCAAAGTTCACATTGTGTATCAATTAAGTGCCTTATCCACTGCTTCAATATCTAGATGCAAAAAATTAGGTCATGATATATGTCATGAAGAATAAGATCTTACACATGTACCTATGAGCGTGCGTGCGTGGGTTATACTTTCTTAAGCCTTGTGTCCACGAAACTAGAAAATGTTCCGAGTTCTCGGACCGAGAAATGTGTAGCCAATGAAATTGCTGCCTTTGCGTAAAAACTGCATATTAATTGGCTACACATTTCTCGGCCTGAGAACTCGGACCAATTTCTAGTATTGTGGACGCAAGGTTTTAATCCGTTAGTTCCCATAGGTAACCCAGAGTGAATTGCATGAAAATGACTACGGGATGTAAGATGTAATCGAGAATGATTATCGAGATTAATTATTGGCGAAAAAATATTATTAAAATAATTTGCAATCCACTCTGGGCTACCTATAGGAATTAACGAATTAAGAGAGTATGAGAATTTTAATCCATCATATCTTGGAGATAAAGAGTGGGCTCAATTTGAAACTTTCAGAGAATTAATGTCTTATATATATAACTCGTTTAGCACCGAATTCAAATCGGATTTCAAAGGTGACGAAACAGGCGATTTTGGGCCTCACTCTTTTAATTTTCTAGCAGGACACCCTGTATACACATGCACATGTGCATTGTACGTATGTACATATATATATATATATATATATATATATATATATATATATATACACAAAATATATTAAAAACTGTAATTAGTCAAATGTACACATTCAATGAATATATAAAATTAATTTTCTTGAAAAAACAAAAGTTTATATTTTATATGAAAAAAATTTTATCTTATGTTTTTAAGTTGCATCAAGAATAATTTTCATTTCACTTGTACTATGATTTTCAAGATATCTTAAATTAAGAAAAATTATTTTAAAAGTTTTCTTAAATCGTAGCTTATCAAAAACATGTAATTTAAAACCAAAATATAAAGAACTAATGAAGTTATTTTTACTTGTTTTACTTATCTGCGAGAGATTGCTTACTTTTTCCGGAACTTTTTACGGTCTGTGCATATACATATAAGAAATTATTCTATCGTATAATAACTATTACAAGTAACCGACGCCGATTTGATTTTCCTTGAAATATGTTATAAAGTATACATTTAAGGTATCCGTATTTTTTATACGTGCCCAATCGAAGATTTAGGGAGTGATTCACTTTTATGAAAAAAAAAACGGATTTTTTTATTTTTCAAGGGAATATCATCTAAACAAAATGATATAAAAAAATGTTTCAAACAAAAATAACTCGGTTTTTTATGCACTTTATGCCTGTGTACTTCAAATTTTAAAAAGTTAAAATTATTAGGGAAAAAAGATTTCGAAAAAATTTTATCATATAAAATTCTTTATGTGATATAAAAATGAATTTTATATATATATAATATATTTTTATATTATATATTATTCATTTTTAATTATATATATATAATTAAAAATGAATTTTATATATATATAATTCATTTTTATATCACATAAAGAATTTTATATGATAAAATTTTTTCGAAATCTTTTTTCCCTAATAATATATATATATATATATATATATATATATATATATACAGGGCATTATAAAAATACTGGAACAGCAAAATAACTCGAAAAATATGAGTCTTAGAAAAAATGTTAAGTATTGGGTTTTTATGATTTTTTCCTGGCTATTTAACGTTCAGATAGCCAGGAAAAAATCATAAAAATGCAGTACTTAGCATTTTTTTCTAGGACTCATATTTTTCGAGTTATTCTGCTGTTCCGGTACTTTTATAACACCCTGTATATATATTATTAACACAACATGTTTATATAAATTATACATACCTTGCGTCAAAATTAGTGTTCCGCAAATGTAATTCCTTTCGATAACTAGTCGTTGCTAATCCGTTTGGAGATTTTGGTGGAGATGTAAATCCAACAGATCTATCTAAAGTGGGTGAGCTAGGAGCTGATCGTGGTTGGTAAAATCTTATACTAGTTTCACTTCTATTAGGTCGCCCTATTTTTCACAAAAAAATAATTATTTATCAATCAATATATATATACTATTTAACATGCAATGATAATAAATATTATCAATATCAAAAAGAAGCATACCTTTCCATTTTAGTCCTTTATATGCCGTTTTCATATCTTTCCCTTTATCTTTCACCTGTTGGTATTAATCTTTATACTAGCATCGTATTATAATAAAAATAATGAAAAAGAAAGCAGAATTGAGAAAATTATTTTAGCAGAAGTAGCTCATTACTGTCTTTTCTTTTTCTCTTGAAAAGTAATTCATTACTATAATTTAAATAATAATGTATCGTACCAATTTGTAAGAAGTTAAACACTCAAAAATTTATATTTTTAAATCTTATTTTATATTAAAATATAACAAAATATATATAAATATAATTTTAATAATTATATCACTATTAATTAAGTATAATAATTTTGATAATTTCAATAAAAAAAACTTTAAAAAAGTTGTAAAAAAAATTCTTAAAAATTTTTAAATATTGTAAAAATAAATAAAATAAGAAAAATTTTTTATTTTTCTTTCCATTCATAAAATTCCACATTGATAATTTGTCTTTATTTTATTTAAGATAATGACACTGTGCTAATTTTCATAATTTCGAACTCTTAAGTTATCTAACTAAATATTTTTTACAAATTAGAAAGAAACAAAATATGAAAAAATTTTCAATAGTTATGTAATTCTATATCAACACTCTTTGATCAATATATTTATTACATAAAAATTATAAAGGTTCGAAAAAGTGATAAAGGTAACTGTTGTTTATAAATTCTCAATATTTGTTATAAAGAAGAATGTAACAAAATTGTTTGTTTCTATTGCAAACAAAACTTTTGTAACGCCATTACTTTTCAAGTCAGACAAAAAGTTATAATTAATGTTCAAACATGTTAAAAAAGTACATGCAAATATAAGAGATATATAATAATATATTTTAAATTATTAGTATATAAAGTACAATTTTGATTAAATTTTGATATTGAAACTTACTGATTTAACGGCATACTTTACTGCTGGATTGGCCTGTAAAATAAGAAAATAAAATACTCTAACTTTTTAAATAAAAATATATAACATATACATATATATATAAAGGTATTTTAGGAGAAATGGTTAGCATTCTAGGACACATCATTTTAAGCAAAAAAGTTTATATAATCATGTATCCTATTCTGGACAATTGTAAAGATGCAGCATGTTTAGTCTTTATAACGAATACATTTATTAACTTAATATAACCAAATTCTTTGAAAAATTACATCAAATTTTAAGCTTATAATAAACTTGAATGACTAATATTAATTAATAAACAATAATTTTAATTAATACTAATTTTGTGACATAAGTAAATCTAAAGTGTTTTAATTACAGCAAAAATAAAAATTTTTAAACACAAGACTTATAAAACATGACCTAATGTTTATATTTGCAACCATGGTAATAGGAAACGACGAAAATTTAATGTATAACTAATTGTTTCATAACATTTGATTCTACTAAATTTATAAATACAGGGTGTCTGACATAAAGTGTCACACCAAAAATATACAAGTAGATCTCGTTATTTGGAGATGATTTTTCCTCAGCAAAAATGTCGAGGGAGGTTATCATTTTTTGCATGTTCACAATAATTTTTGCCATAATGTATCTTTAAAACTAACTCTTATTAAAATTTTATTAAAATAAACGCTATTTGAAATTTGGAGAATGTTGTTTTGTTTCCACAAGGCTTAGTTTGTTAAAAATTCCTCATTTTCAATCGCTTATAACTCGAAAATTATTGATGCTTCAATATTTTTGCTGAGAAAAAATTGTCTCCAAATAACAAGATTTACTTGTATATTTTCGGTGTGACACCTTGTGTCAGACATTCTGTATATCTGTTCTTAAGATTGAACATGTATAATATTTTTATAATTATTCAGAGTTGGACACATGTTTATATGAACTTTTTGCCTAAAATAATGCACACCATCATGTCCTAAAATATTAACCATTCCTCCTGAAAGACTCTGCATATAAAAATATGAAGATATTAGATATAAAAATTAGTTCTGGGAATAACTTTTATATAATAAACTACATAATACTGAAACTAATTTACATAACACCTGAAACTAGTTTAAATTATTTGAAATAAGCTATTACCTTATCTTTTACACTACGGAAAAATGCAGAGCTTTCTTTTCGCATAGTATAAGACCATTCTCTGTATTGCTGCATAAATTTACTATTCGATTTGGCTGAATAACTGCAAGCCTCCATTTCAAACTCGTCTGAGAAACCAAGTCCTGAATTAAGCATGTTTAATCTTTCTTCTATAAACTGAAAATATACCCAGAACATTTATATAGTATTAAATATAGCTATAAACGTTACACATATAAGAAACTTACTTGTTGAAAAATTTGTAATTCCAACATTTTTCGTAAAAAAGGTTGCATGGAAGATGGTCTACTTTCGACAAAAGCATTTTCATTGAATGTAATACGCTCACCCTGTTGTAGAGTTAATGCTTCTCTATAACCTGCAGTTAATTGCACTAATGCACGTAAGAATGCTCTTGACACACCATCTCCAAGAAGAGTTGATCTATTACGTAATGCTTTCTTCAAATTTGTCACCTACAATATAAGAATTTTATTTTATTTCATTATTTAAGGCTCCTAGGTCCTCGCCGCGGCCATGTTAGATTGTGACGTCAGAGACGAGACAGTATACACTGAAAATTCTTAGATGACATTTTTAGGAACCAGAAGCCTTAAAATGCATTACCTTATTACATACAGCAATATGATACAATATACAGGATGTTTCATTTTAATACATATAGTCGAATATTGCTGAAATTATGGCTGTAATGCGAACATATTTTACATAAAAGTTAAAAAATTTCCAAGGAAAACAGTTAATAATTTTAAATTTTAATTAAGTTTTTTAAAAAGGTAAGAATCTTCTCTCGACCGTACTGGCAAATATTATTTATTCAATCACAACGTTTCGACCCTTCTTTGAGTCCTTTTCAAGGATACCGACAATCTAAGTAATATCTACGACAAAATAATAAAGGTCGTTTAGTCTCCAATAACTCGTCTAAGAGTCTTGACGTGTTGTCAAACTGACACTATGTTCGTTCTTGACATCTTAAAATTATAATTTTATTTTTATTTTTACAAGTATGTTTCGCTTCTTTTTATCATTTTGTAATATTGTGAAGTAATTTTGTTTTTTATTGTATTAATCTCTGTCAAGGTATATCTAGATCACTTGAAAAGGACTCAAAGAAGGCTCGAAACGTTGTGATTGAATAAATAATATTTGCCAGTACGGTCGAGAGAAGATTCTTACCTTTTTTAAATTCTGTCTGGCGATTCTCAAATATCTACGTTCTTAAGTTTTTTAAAATTATTTAAAATCATTCAACTTACAAGGGACACTACACCCAGTACATCAAGAATCAGGATGCCAATTTTTTTGGTGATTCTAGAGGTCAAAAAAAGGTATACGTGTTTCGGCGTTTTGTCGAATGCTCCGTAGTTTTCGAGTAAAAAATTTTTAAAAAATCGAAAAGTGCAGCAGCGATTAAGAGCTAACTCGTAGGTCGCAAGTTCGAGTCCATGTCTTGTTACTTTTTTTTTGTTTTATCTTACTAGTTTTGAAAAAGTGTTGTTGTTTAAATATATTTAAATATATATAATGTGTAATGACAAATATAATTTAAATAAAAATAAGATATAAAAACAAAATATTTGAAAAAAAAATTTTTTTATTGTAATAATTTAATTAAATAAATAAATAAATATATTTAAACAACAACACTTTTTCAAAACTAGCAAGATAAAACAAAAAAATAGTAACAAGACACGGACTCGAACTTGCGACCTACGAGTTAGCTCTTAATCGCTGCTGCACTTTTCGATTTTTAAAAATTTTTTACTCGAAAACTACGGAGCATTCGACAAAACGCCGAAACACGTATACCTTTTTTTAACCTCTAGAATCACCAAAAAAATTGGCATCCTGATTCTCGATGTACTGGGTGTAGTGTCCCCTTGTTAGTTTTTTTAAAATGCAACCATCCTAATTATTTTATATAAATTGATTCTTCTCAATATTTTATATAAAATAATTTATCAATGTTTAGGGATGAGGCTTACGAGCCAATGCTAGGATGATAGTTGCAAAAATCAGTCTTGATGCACAAGAAAACTAGTATATTTCAAGTTTACAAACGTTTCGGTCCTCTACGTGACCATCTTCAGTGGTTACATTAGCAAAGATATTAATAAGTTCCTTGCGTGATGTGTAGGTCAAAAAATATAAAATAACATGAAACTGAAAGTTTCAATGGAGACTGACAGTCTCCTAAGAACGTTCAGACTACGAACATTACTGTCGGGCCAGGATATGCAGGAGACTTACACTTACACTTACACTAGCATTGAAACTTTCAGTTTCATGTTATTTTATATTTTTTGACCTACACATCACGCAAGGAACTTATTAATATCTTTGCTAATGTAACCACTGAAGATGGTCACGTAGAGGACCGAAACGTTTGTAAACTTGAAATATACTAGTTTTCTTGTGCATCAAGACTGATTTTTGCAACTATTATCCTAGCATTCGCTCGTAAGCCTCATCCCTAAACATTGTTAATTTTAACGAGCATTATCTAATTATTTAAAATATTTTATATTTTAATAATTTTACATAAATTATAAAATATTTCGTAAAAATATTCATTTTTCGATAATCTTATTTCAATACTTTTATGTACAAAATAATTAAAATAAAAAAATAACCAATTAGTACAAAGAAAATTCATAATTATTTAAAGAAAATATATTGCTTAAAGTATTTTGTTTACACAAAATTTGTTTAAAACAATATGTAATTGCAACTTACAAATATTACGAGAAATTGATTTATTAGTTAAAATTCAAGATTATAAACATTTTTCTCTCTTGAAATCTTTTGTATAAATATTTTCTCATTACAGTCATAGTTTTAGTAATATTTGATTATATTAAAATAAAACATCTTGTATATTTATAGTTTCATGATTAAAATATAATGCATAATATACACACCACATCTTGAGGTAAAGACTCCAAATCTTGAAATGGTGACTCTATCACATTATTATCAGCATCTAAAATAACAACTTCTCCTAAATCACTTTTGGGTACTTTCTGCAAAGAATATTATAAAATAATATATATTGTACATACATAATGACATATTTTAAAAAACTTTTGCTTTAAATACCTGAAGCGTTGATGTGGGAACCCCGATAAGAAATGGCATAGGAGCTAATAAATAATCTATTAACGACAAAGGTAGAACAGGGATATATATATGTTGCCAAATCATTGGATAAATTAAAGCATTGCACGCTTGTACGCACGCACTTAATCTAGATAAACGCTTTGAAATAAAAATAATACGACGTTCGTATAACATAGATGCAAATATCATCATCATATTGTTTGAATCAACAGCGCTATAATATTCAGTCAAATTTCTCTGAAATAGTAAAGTCACTTAGGAAAATACTTCATTATAATTTTATACATAATAAAATTTTACAACAAATTTATTTTAATATATTCAATTATGATGTTAAGCTTACGTTTTCTGGGATGCTAGGTAGTTGAAACTGTTTTGGACTTTGACAAATAAAATTCTGAAAATATTGAAATATTTAAATGTATAAATGTATGTATATGTTTAAGTATATATAAAAATGATTTAATAAAAATATCAAGGAGTCTACCACTCAGCAATAAGTGTACATATTTTAAGCAATAAACGGCAATAACAAAAGAATAACTAAACATATTGAAAATGTGACATTAGGCAAAAAAAAAAAACAATAGTAGACAATACAAGGCAGACAGAAATAAAGAATAATGTTTAATGCAAAAATATGGAACTTATTATTATTTATTACTGTTTTTGGCAATAGATGTATTTTTTGCGGTAAACCCCTTGAAAAATATATTAAAAAGCAATTTTTATATGAAAAAAATGCATGTTAATTTGTATAAAAAATATGTGTAAAAAATATACTATAATATAAATATATAATATAAAATATATACAGGGTGTTCGGTAACTAACGGACCAATGATTAAGGGCGGATTCTCTGGCCAATTTGGAGACGATTTTTCCTTAGCAAAAATGTTAAGAAGTCAATAATTTTCGAGTTATAAGCAATTGAAAAAAATGGGTTTTTTGAAAACTAAACGTTTTAGAGTTAAAAGTCTAACATAATTACATTCTTTAGTTAATTTCAGGTAGAGTTTATTATAATAAAATTTTAATTTGAGGCTTTAGTTATAAAGATACATAATGACAAATATTGGAAAGTTGTAAAAAATGATGACCTTTTTCGACATTTTCACTGAGGAAAAATCGTTCCCAAATTGACCAAAGAATCCATTTGTAATCGTTGGTCCATTAGTTACCGGACACCCTGTATATGTGTAAAAAATATAAACATGTATATTTTATAGATTCTAAAAACAATTAATTTACTGTTGTAGAATTTGGTAAAGAGATCGATATGGAATTTCCAGGAATTGGAACTCCACAGGCATATATGTTCTCAAGAAACTTCCATAAATCCTCTCCACTGCCATTGCTGGTTAAAGATGCAATATGATTCAATAACCTATAATGAAAATACAGTATAATATAAATTTTGACTCTAAACACATTTACACATTTTTTACTAACTTGTAAAATGTTTCGTGCCATGGAAGTGCACTTAAAACTATCAAAGCTGTTTCTGTTTTGGGATCATGACGGCAAAAGCCAAAAGTCCATTTTGAATCTATACTAGTGAGTACGAATGAAAAATGTTGTACCAGCAAACTGAAATGATAACATGTAATAGAAAAATATTATAAGATATACAAAAATATAATCATATTTTTCTCTGTGCTAAATATCAACATACTTTTCAAATTCACAAGGATATGCAAATTTAGGAACAGATTTAAGTATTTCTTCATCTGAGAAAGAGCTAGGATATTTTTGAAGTATCCAAGCTGGTTTCTCTCCTACTGGTGCAGCTATCTCGCAGAAACATTCAAACAGTTGTTTGACATTTTCCCTGAAGATTATATTACTTAAATTAATATTTATATAATTCAAGTAAATAATGAAATACAATTGTAAATTGCAGTTATTATTATATTCATCAACGCAATATTTAATAAATAAAAATATGATATATAAAAAATACAAAAAAATAAAAAAAATACATGACGTTTAAAAAATATAAAATATATTCTGTTAATCAAAAAAACATTCTGTGACGTTATCTGAGTGAAATTTTACAGATGGGATATATTATCGTATTCAATTTCGCTCAAACAAAATCAGATAGCTCTATTACACAAAGACGAAATGAGACAAAGGACTTACCTTAGTCGAGATCCCATGATAACGGTCGAAAAAAAAACAAATTCTTCGTATCCTGATCTTTATACATCATTGTATTACATGATAGTAATGATATTCCATTCGTATATATAATTTAAAAAATGTAATGTCAAAATATATCGTCAACACTTAGTTGCTTTTACTAGCTGTCAATGTAATGCGACTTTATCTCTCCTTTGCCTTTCTCAAATTACAAAGCGGTAAATATATCACTAATCGAGATGAAATCTGTGAATTCTTAGGTATTGTATCTATCACACGTTTCTCTGAAATTAGATTGAAACTGAATGAAAATGAATATGTGTCACGTAGCAATACACACATACATACTCACACACAGGTACTCGACAGAAGAGCACAATGAACGCTATTAAGCCTGATTCAGACAGACGGGTGCGTTTATTTATGCCATAGGGCGGTAACAGGATGCCGTCACATGAGGCGTAACTTGCGGTAACTTACGCCGACCAATCACATCGTCTCATTTCAGTATCATGTCACGTCCTAGTGACCTTCCTACTCTCTTTATTCCTAGGCTAGAAAGAATGGGGCGCTCTCTATTTTTATGAGGCAACCTGCTTACACCGGCTATACCTCAGGGACGCCGAGAGCACGGACTATACTGTGGAACTAAGGACCAGTGTTGTTAGACGGACTAGGTTTTTTTCGCGCATGCGCGTATTACCGTGACGTAACCATGACGACTACAGTAACGTATGATGTTTGCGCGCGCAACTACGGACCAAGACCCTGGACCACGGAGTTTTGGCGGAATCGCAGGAAACAGATAAATTGAACGTACGTAAAAATAAATAAATTATTACAATATATGTAATATAAAAGTGTATTATTATAATTTATGTATATTAAAATTAATCAATAATTCAAATTATAAATTGTATAAATAAAAACTAAACTCGTAATTTACGTATGTTATAACATAGGTACACGTATATGTATATATTTTATAATTTCATTATTTGTTTATTGTATGTTTATATTTAACATTTTTAATTAAATTTATTATATTTATAATAAAAATTATACGATTCATTAATTATTTTAAAAAATTTTCAATAATTTAAGAAAAATTAAACAGAGGGGGAAATCAGAACCCCATTTCATGCGAGTGACTACTTCATTAATACTACATTCAATGCGCATGCGCGAAAAACCTAGCCCGTCTAACAACACTGCTAAGGACGAGTGTTGGCACAGATTAATAGACAGATCGCCAAAGGTCTGGATGAAGGAGAGACCAGCATTTCTCACTGATTTCAGCGCCATATCGTAGTAGTGGTCAATGCAGTAACTATTAATACGTTCCCAAGATAAGAGCGTCTCATGCTCATGAACTCGTCCGGCGGCATGTACGAGATTTATCTTTTCGTAGCGTTCGCGTATTTCGGAAAGGACAGAATTTTATGATGTTATAAATAAATAAATAAATAAATAAATAAATAAAATATTAACCTGACCTATTATAATTATTTTTTAATAAATGTTTCATTATTATTATCATCTAAGTCTAAGTCGTTTAATTAATTTTTAGTTTTTTAATAATTAATTTAATTTATTCTAATCATTTTAATATGTGAAAAATACTAATACGTATACGTTTTATAATGAATTAATATATTTCGAGAGTCGAATTATATATTTTTAATAATATAAAAGTGTTCAAAAATTATATTTGACTTTTAATTTTAATTATTTTAGCAAAGAGTTCCGAAATCTCTTACACACATAATAGGGATTTTGTTCATCCATATAATTCGCAATTAAGTATATATGTTAATTATTAATTTTAATAAAATACAAAATTAAAATTAAAGGTCAAATATAATTTTTGAACATAAATATATTTAATTCGTTATAAAACGTATACCCGTGATAGTATTTTTCTCGTACAAAAATAACTAGAACAAATTAAATTACTCATAAAAAAATAAAAAATAATTAAATAATTTATATTATATATGATAATAATAAAACATTTTATAAAAAAAACAGATTCAATAAATATAAGTATATATATAACATGTACTTATATTTATTGAATCTGTTTTTTAATAAAATGTTTTATAAGCTTAGAAAACTTGACTTTGACGTAACTAGCAAATTTTATTTAATTATTTCACGACGGTTTGACGTAATAAAATGTTTTATTATTATTATATAAAATATAAGTTTAAATTCTTTAATTAATTTTTAATCTTTTATGATTAATTTAATTTACTCTAATTATTTTTGTACGAGAAAAATACTATCATGGGTATACGTTTTATAATTAATTTAATATATTTGTGTTTAAAAATTATATTTGACCTTTAATTTTAATTTTTATTTTATTAAAATTAATAATTAACATATATACTTAATTGCGAATTATATGGATGAAAAAAATCCCCATTATGTGTGTAAGAGATTTCGGAACTCTTTGCTATAAAATAATTAAAATTAAAAGTCAAATATAATTTTTGAACACTTTTATATTATTAAGAATATATAATTCGGTTCCCGAAATATATTAATTCATTATAAAACGTATACGTGATATTATTTTTCTCATATAAAAATGACTAGAATAAATTAAATTAATTATTAAAAAACTAAAAAGTAATTAAACGACTTAGACTTAGATGATAATAATAATGAAACATTTTATTAAAAAAAGATTCAATAACTAGTAGGTCAGGTTATAATTTTTTATTTATTTATTTATAACATTATGAGCTATTAAGCTCATCATCTCGTTCGCTCTCTGTCTTGCTTTCATTCGGCAAGTCACAAACGATATATGATACTCGTATGTTCCTACTTCAACTCTCGAGAATCTGAAACAAACGAAACTCGTGTCCAATATACAGGGTGTCCGGTAACTAACAGACCAATGATTACAAATGGATTCTTTGGTCAATTTGGGAACGATTTTTCCTCAGCGAAAATGTCGAAAAAGGTCATCATTTTTTACAACTTTCCAATCTTTGTCATTATGTATCTTTATAACTAAGCCTTAAATTAAAATTTTATTATAGTAAACTCTACCTGAAATTAACTGAAGAATGTAATTATGTTAGACTTTTAACTCCAAAACGTTTAGTTTTCAAAAAACCTATTTTTTTCAATCGCTTATAACTCGAAAATTATTGACTTCTCAACATTTTTGCTAAGGAAAAATCGTCTCCAAATTGGCCAGAGAATCCGCCCTTAATCATTGGTCCGTTAGTTACCGGACACCTTGTATATATTATATAAAAGTGTATAGCACGTCAGAAGCTTGTGAGCTTACAGCGATAAGTAAAAACAATTGCGTATTTATTTCATTGCGTTTATCTGTTTAAACGCGCGCTTTAATTTTTCCAACGTTTTTGCCTGTTTATATTTTAAAGGTCCTCTCTTCTAAAAATCTTGTTTTAAAGATCCTCTCCGCGAGCAAAATTCGAAAACATAAATTATTTAATATTTTTACTTTATTATTTGTAAATCCTCGGTAATTTCAAAATTTTTCTATTTGAAAATTATTAATTTTCTATTGCCAATTAATTTTATCACAGACTTTACTCTTACTCCCATTGCACTTTCGTTTGCGGTTTTCAGTATACGATTTTTTATCGTAGTTACTGAAAATTATTATTGTGAATTATACTTGTGCAGTGATTTGAAGAATTTACAATTTCGTTGAAATTGTTGATTTTTCAAAAAAATTACGAGATTCGCGGAAATTGCGTGCTTTCTTGGCATTTTCCGTTCGCGGCAGGCGGTTTATTTTTGATTGTTGCAAGTGTTTTTTTTTTTTTTTTTATTAAAATAGATAATAATAATGTGAAATAAATCACGATATTTGACAGATGTGCATATATATAGAAATTGTAATAATAATAATATTATATCATAAAATTGTAAATTGTTTCAATTTTTTATAGACTGCGATAAAAGATTTTACATTTGGATAAGAAACTGCGGTAAGTAAAAATATAAAATTCTTGAAAACGTAAAAATATTTGATAACGTAAAAAGGTGAACTTTGAAAAATAAGGAACTTAAAAATTGCACTAATAAATGGGCTATATATATGTGAGCCGTGCGCGGATGTAAGGTGTGTTATATCGAAATTTAATTAATAGAATTGAGAATTAATCCCAATTTTAAGTCTTACAAATGTCCAAGCTAATTTTTTGTACCTCGTGTACATTTTTGAAAGTTATATCGAAAAATTAAATTTCAATATGCGTCTTACATCTCACATTTCGCATACGGCTCACATATAGCCTATTTATCTCTTATACTTTATTTCAACCCTTATAGAAATTTATTACTAGTAACGCCAATTTATCACTTATTTCGAGTAATTAATCACTTTTATTTCGAATACTTAAATTACTGTATATTATAGTATTTTAAATACTCAAAATAAGTGATTAATTGGCGTAGTGATAAATTTCTACAAGAGAATAAGGAGCCTTTAAATTCTTAATGTAAAAAATTTCAAGTAATTTTCTTTAATAAAATTTAATTAAAAATTTAATTAAAAAATTTTTGAACACTGTGTTATATCACATTTAAAATCGTGATTATTTCAATAAAAAAACATTTTATGTGTAAAAAATATATTTTTTATATTTAATAAATTTTATATATATATATGCATATATGTAAAATATTCTCTCTCTCTCTCTCTCTCTCTCTCTCTCTCTCTCTCTCTCACACACACACACACACACACACACAACGGGGGCCAAATCTCTCAAATTGGTCTCATGATCAATTAGCCTGGATTCGCACCAGGGGCAAAGTCTGTTGGTAATGTCAAACGAATTTAGCCTGGACTTGCACCAGGGGCAAAGTCTTTTGGTCGAGTCTACGAAATTTAGCACGGACTCGAACCAGGGGCAAAGTCTTTTGGTTCAAGTCTACGAAATTTAGCACGGACTCGAACCAGGGGCAAAGTGTGTCGGTAAGGGGCAAAGTCTATCGCACGAAGATGGCGGTCTCTTCTTTAGGCAGGCCTTTGGCGATCTGTCTATTAATCTGTGGTGTTGGGACGTTGGGGATGAGGAATCTAGTTACTAGTGAAAAAAGGTTCTACCTGCATATATACCTGAAAAAGAATTGCTTTGTCTTCCGTTATAAAAATCTGTGTCCAAGTTGGGTGCGAGAGAGAAAGATAGTTTTTTTAACCTTTATCCGCAATGCGCAAACGTAGATGACGTCACGGTGACGTCACGCTCACCGCGCCGTTTGAAACTGGAAATGTAATTGGTGCTTTCGCTAATTCGTGTTTGCGCATTGCAAACGGAGGTAACAATCCACCCTTCTCTT